TATTATCAGTAATGCTTTATTTTGAGTGTTGCTTTGTAGATGGTTTATAAACTCTTAACAGATTATCAGTAACACATCAACATCATATCAGTGAAGTAGCTGTAGTGACGCATCTGAATACATTGAAGTAAATATCTTGAAGACGTTCTGTTGATACATTACTTACATTAAGTAGATGCATTATTGATTTATTACATGAAGTAGACTTTATATGTTACGTCTAACCGTAACCCTGGCGTAACCCTAATCCTAACCTTAACCTTAACCTCAACCCAGAATCTAATCCTAACCCTAACCTTAACCTCAACCCAGAACCAAATCCTAACCCTAACTTTAATCTCAACCCCAAAACCTAATCCTAGCCTTTACACTGGCTCTGATCCTGACCTTTACCTTAACCTTAACCTCAACTCAAAACCTAAACCTAACCCTCACCCTTGGCCTAATCCTTAACTTCAACCCAAAACCCATCCTAACCCTCACCCTGGCCCTAATCCTTAACATCAACCTAATCCTAACCCTCACCCTGGCCCTAATCCTAACCCTAACCTTAACCTCAACCCAAAACCTAACCCTAACTCTAGCCTAAATCAAACCCTAATCCATTGAAGCTCCAGGTACAGAATGGTGTCAGTGTGTCTGTAACTGCTTGTTGAGGATGATGATGGTCTTTATTAAACCTGTTAATGTTCAGTTCCTCTCAGGTTAAACATCTACAGATCTGAACTTGGACTCCAAATAAAGTGAAAAACAACTGAATTCAGCAGATTATAAACACATTTATTTACACAGTTAGTTAAAAATCTCTTAATAATCTACTGCTGCTACATCATTGATGAGTTGCTGATGTTACTGTTGAGTCTGTTGAGTGTTTTCATGCAAAAAGCACCACTCAAAATAAAGCATGACCTTAATATCTAATGCTGTTTTTTTCTGCGCTTGTGTAAAGCACTTTGAATTGCACCTGTTTATTTTGAAAGGTGCTATACAAATAAACTTCAAATGTCTTTAATTAAAAAAAGAGTGAGAGAAACTCTTTTAAACAGTAATATGAATTGAATGTTTACCAAAATGACAATATTAACTCTGGACTTCTAAGGTTTATATGTAGTATAAGTTACATTAATCCACTTTCAGAAGTTAAATCACGATGTCTGTAGGTGTAAGACGCTTCAGTCACATTAAAGCCATTGAGAAAAGCTTGCTGAGCAACACTAATGTCTGTGTTGGAGGGGCTCGGTGAGGGGCCGAGGAGGAAAATCTGACATTAGACACATCTGTGACTCATAAGAAACCCGAAACCCCCACAGAGAACACATCTCTGCACGCAGGAAGCATTCAATTCAGAAACACTGATTCCGATCTGACGGGCGGGCAGCGAGCGCGCTTCTAATGAGACCCAAAACACAGCGTAATTGGACCATTTCTGATTCTGAAGCACATCCGGCCAATTAGGCTCCTTCACTGCAAGTAGCCCAGCGCAAATGATGTGTGTCTCTCATCTGAGCTGGAAGAGATGGAGCGCTAACACTTCTTTTTTGGGCCATAATACTACGCTAAAATTCACTGCAAAAGCACGGAAAAGAGAAGTGAGTGCCAATATTTCATCACCACCAGCAAGAAAGGCCTGTAACTTCACAATAACAGCTTTTCATAAAGGCACTATTTCAAGCTAATCAGTAAAGCTCAATCATTAAAGAAACATTCGAATAAAAAAGGTTTAATTATAGCTTTACGTCACAAAAACAAATACCCCGCTTCTGTGAGACTAATGCTGCTAATCCCAAGAGAGTTATTTCAACATTATACTGGAAAACAGGAAGATTTCAGTGATCTTGTGATGAAATATAAAATACTCAGTTATTATGCACCTTTAAGTATTCACAAGGTCCCACTTTATATTAAGTGTCTCTAATAACTGTGTAGTTACATGTGAACAACATATGCAACAACAATGTAACTACTAATGATTGAGTCACTCTTACAAATGGAACACAGAAATACACATTATGTAATTACACATGTATAAACAAGGAAGTATGTAATAACTTACATTAAGACATTATTTACACTGTATCTGCCAGTTTTCCTAACATGTAGTTAGTGTTTATGTTGCTAGTGCTGTGACATTGTAACCAGTTTCAACTTTAAACCATTCTGTAACGTGACAGTACAGCAGACGTCCACTTATCTTAACATGTACATTTTATGACATCAGTTAAGTGTTGCATTAACCCCAAAGCAATGTCTATATTACCACTCCATTATTACACTGTACCTATGTAGCAACTACACAGAAACCGTCCACTTATTATAGAGCGTAACTTTAACACTGCACTACCGGAAAGTTCCTGTGAAGTTGTTATGTAGGTACAGTGTAATTACAGAATGGTATTAATATGTGATGTCGTTAGGTTACCATGTTACAACACAGTTATAATACAGTAATTATGCAATGTAAACCATACTTTAACTGCTGGAAAAGACATCTGATTTGTAGTGTATCAAAAAGATACACTTGTGTAATTACACAAGGCAAAGCTAAAGGTGATACACATGTGTAATTACATAGGCTATACTTCTGTAATCCACCTGTAACATTGGCTAAATCATAAATCGTTAGTGTTGTTGCATGTGTTATTCATGTGTAACTATACAGTTATTAGAGACACTTAATACAAAGTGGGACCAACTCTTCTGGTCCTAGTGCACTGCTCTTCTCAGGTCCATCACTTTTCAATTACCAGGATGCCCTGCATTAAAAAAGACCATTAAAACTGCCAAATGCCCCTGGAATCAGTCTTAGAACACCTGGTAAACCATTAGATCCCTTTACACTGTGATATCAACCCACAAGGAAAGCATAAAATATCATGACTGACTACTGGAGACCACCAGGAACCAGCAGAAATGTTTGATTGTTTCTATGATTTGATTAAAATTTGAGCATGATGAGCCTGAAAAGGACAGTTAAACATATCTCTTTTAGCTCTTGCCCTGTTTCAGCATATATAAATGAAGAACACACCCTGCCAATATGGTGGAACGATCCCATAATATGGTGTGACATTTTGATCCAAAGCAATAAGTATTGTTTATTTATCTGCTACAGTATTGCTAAATTTTATGCAATTAGCTATGTATTATGTGAAGTAGCACTGAGCGAACAGTGCTGTGCCTTCACTTTTCCTCACTGGGCTTAATATTACTTACAGAACCTTCAATCTAATCCATTCTGTAATTTCTGTATGTTCTGTACAAACACAATTTTCCCAATACTGTCAGTGTTCTGGTTCAGTCTGCTCTCTTAAAATGAGCTGCTTCCACCACAGGTTCTCCACCCAGAGGTATAACCAAACTTCATATTTTTAAACATTGTGATTTGATCCGCAGCAATAACAGTTCAGTAAGGGACATGAGCAGCAACTAAAAATATCATGTAAAGGAAACCCACTTCAAAATTTCCAAAGATTCAGCAATGACTCCCTCTCCTCCAGTTTTAATGAGGTTTCTCTGTAATGCATTGTAAATTATGCACATAATTAATGTATTTTTGTCACTGGTGGATTTGGCATCGTGAAACAAGCACGTTATCAAAAATGCATAATTAACAAAGTCTATTTTCTCAGCCTTGAGGAGAAAGAGAGAGAGAGAGAGAGAGAGGGAGAGAGAGAGAGAGAGGATGAAAAAGGAGAGAGAGAGAGAAAGTATAAGAGCATAGAGAGAGAGAGAGAGAGAAAGTGAGAAAGAAAGAGAAAGGAGAGACAGAGGAAGAAAAAAACGAAAGAGAGGATGAAAAAAGAGAGAGGAGAGACAGAGGAAGAAAAGAAAGAAATAGAGAGAGAGACAGAATGGAGAGACAGAGGAAGAAAAAAAGAAAGAGAGACAGAGGATGAAAGAGAGAGGAGAGACAGAGGAAGAAAAGAAAGAGAGAGAGAGACAGAATGGATAAAAAGAGGGAGAGAGAAAGAGAAAAAGATAGAGGCATAGAGCCAAAGAGAGAGAGAGGGGGGTGAAAAAAGAGAGAAAGTAAAAGAGCATAGAGAGAGAGAAAGTGAGACAGAGAGAGAAAAAGAGAGGAGAGACAGAGGAAGAAAAGAAAAAAGAGAGCGAAAGGGAGAGAGGATAAAAAGAGGGAGAGAGAGAAAGTGAGAAAGAGAGAAAGAGAGCAGAGAGACAGAGAAAGAAAAGAAAGAAAGAGAAAGACAGCGAGTGGCTAAAAAAGATGGAGAGAGAGTAACAGAGAGCATATTGAGAGAGAAAGTGAGAAACAGAGAGAAAGAAAGAGGACAGATAAAGGAATAAAAGAAATAAAGAGAGAGGGAAAGAGATGACAGTGAAACACAGGGAGAAAAGAAAAGGAAAAAGAGGAAGACTTCTTGTCATTTTTTTCCGTTCTCTGTGGAAGTGCGCTGGCGTTATTTTTTCTCTGGTCTGCTCGGAGCCTCTACTGCCAACTATAGCTAAGAGGGCTATGACATCACACACTATCACACCGTTGAGTGTGATGGTCCCCTTTCACCCTCCTCTCAATGGACAGGACCCCCACAGGACCACCACAGGGCAGGTATTATTTGGTTGGTGGGTCATTCTCAACACTGCAGTGACACTGATGTGGTGATGGTGTGTTACTGTGTGTTGCGCTGGTGCGAGTTGATCAGACAGAGAGGTTTTAAACACTGTGTCCACTCGCTGTCCACTCTATTAGGCACTCCTACCTTGTTGATCCACCACCCAAATAATACCTGCTCTGTGCTGACACTGTATGTCCAAAAATATCCAGACAAACTTATAATAATTGAATTCAAGGTGCACATGAGCCTAAGGTCACCACGCCCAATGCCAAGCGTGGGCTAAAGGGGTATAAAGCCCCCCAGCTTTGGGCTGTGGAGCAGTGGAACTATATATATATATATATATATATATGACCTCGCTCTATAAAAACAAATGTGTTTCACTGTGTGTGTGTGTGTGTATGTGTGTGTGTTGAGATTACTGACCCTCCATTCAGACACCGGCGGAGAGAATAGGAGGCTCCGCCCCCACAGGTGCGCGAGCAGTCACTCCAGGTTCCCCAGGCATCCCACCCTGTGTCCCTCTCCTCATCTGAGCGTGTGGTTCTCGATGACTGCAATAAACACACACAATACAGATATAAATCTCTGACCTCACAATGATTCAGTTCCATTACAGTTACTTCAGTTACATTTCAGTGCATCGTGACTTCAGATGTGTCAATTTATCAGCCCCCATCAATGTTAATGGACCACCACAGGACCACCAGATGTTTTGGGTGATGGTCCATTCTCAACACAGCAGTGGCACTGACATGGTAGTGTGAGTGGCGCCAATATGAGTGTGTCAGACACAGAGTGCAAACTCACTGGCCACTTTATCAGAAACCTCTCTCTTGCAGCTCCACCTTGCTGTAAAGTTAGAGACTGTAGCTCATGTGTTGATGCCCAATTTGTCCTAGTCATCCTGTAGTTCTTCAGTTTCAGACCACTGTTGTCTGGTTATGAAGCTCTGTACAGTACTGTGCAAAAGTCAGTGAGCCCCTTAATTTAATCAATTTCCAGTCAAAACAGCTGATAAAGTACAAATTAGACATTTTTCAGGTGATATTTTTGAGGTGATTAGATTATGAAGAAGAAAGTCAAAGGGAAATAGGTAAAAAGAGTTTCCAAAAAATGAATACAAGCTATAGAGAAAATGGGACTCCTAACAGCCACCTGGAAAACCTGATAGTTCAGGGGTCGGCAACCCAAATATTAAGAAGAGCCATTTTGTCCTTTCCACAAAAATTAAACCATCTTGGGAGCCACAACATTTTATGTCCATTTTATTGTAGTAATATTTTACCATCTTGGCTAAAAATGTCTTTATATGTGCTAATGTCCTATAGACTAAAATATAAACAAAAACACAGATGTACTTTGCTCTGCTTTAAGCTTTAGCTCGGCTATAGCTGCTTTTCTCACATCTCCGACAGGAAACCTTTCCACAAAAGTAGAACAGTTTCTTGTAAAATGTCTCTCAATGTTTGACTTTTTACGAGGCTGAAGTTGTTTCTCATTCACCAGCTTCTTGTTCGAATCTTTCCGTTCCGCCTTAAATGACGCCTGAGCCAGAAAGCAACTGCTGCATCATTTAAGGTGGAATGGAAAAATGTGAACGCGAAGCTGGCAAACGAGGAGCTGACTTCAGTTTCGCAACTTTTTAGTGTTCTACAGTTTCTCGCTGTTGATTAAATGGTTCAGGAAACCAGATGGAGTGATTATAAATACAAATATGTTAATTTGTCTCTAGATTATCAATGTTTGTCTTAAATCTCTCTCTTTGCTGTTTCGTTAGCTACTAGCTAGGTGAGACTGTTATCTGTGTTGCTATGGTGACCAGCAGTCTGTGATGATCTTCAGGGTTAAAGGATGAATTAGCAGTTCTATATTAACTCCAGCGTTTAAGAGCATTTATTGTTAAAACTGTGTTAGAAAGATCAGCAGAGCTTTATTTTACTGCAAAGGAGGATTATTTTATTTTTACCTACAAATCTAATTCTGCTGTGGAGCCGCAACAGGGCAGCCACATATTGCTGACCCCTGTGATGGACCAACAAAACTGCCCCCATCAGATAAACAGCACTTAAAGCTTTCATCTTTGAGAGAGAGGAGAAAATCAAGCTGCTCCAGATTTGAAAAACATCCACAGGTGTTTCTGTCCATCCTTCCATTTTTGCACTGTCCTGTATACCCTGAGCTTCTTCATTAAACTGTTCAGTATGTATATGCTGTTGTCCAGCCACTGGACACTGTCTTTTATCCCCATTCCTGGACCAAGGCAGTGGATAAGCTCCTACCACACAACTCACATCCAAATCTCTCCTTTGAAGGAAAATTTGTATCCACAGATATTATTTATGCAGTCTAGTTCACTTTCTAACAAGCTTTGACCCCCTCCTTCTCTCAGCGTCAGCGGCTAATCCTCACGTCTGGATGCCCTCAAAACCACGGCCTTGAACACGAGCTGGGCATTCCCTCGACTTTCTGACCAACTCCAAATCCCAGCGTCGTCATTCAAGACAGCTCTCCTCCATTTACTCACACTCTGCTGGGTCTAAAGGTCCAGGCACACAAGCTTTTAACAGCAAAATTTTGCAGCTACATATGCTATGTGTGTCAATTGCAAGTATCAACATCGTTTGCAAATTATTAGTAACAATGGACCTTGTACGCAAAACCTTTGAGTGAGCTTCAGAGTTTGTAGCATCAATCATGCATCAGACACTTGTTGGAATAGATGGGTCAGGGGTCGGAAACATGAGGCTCTTTTACTGCCCTGTTGTGGCTCCACAGCAGAATTAGATTTTTGGGTAATAATAAAATAATCCTCCTTTGCAGTAAAATAAAGCTCTGCTGATTGTTCAGCACAGTTTTAACTATAAATGCTCTTAAACACTGGAGTTAATGTAGAACTGCTAATTCACCCTTTAACCCTGAAGGTTGGTGCGCAGACTGCTGGTTACCATAGCAACACAGACAATAATCTCGCCTAGCTAGTAGCTCTCGAAAAGACAAAGAGAAAGATTTATGACGAACTTTGATAATTTGGAGACAAATGGATTGATTTGCATTTATAAGCACTCCATCTGGTTTCCTGATACGTTTAATCTGCAATGAAAAAAGACTTTAAATGGCGCAGCAGTTGCATTCTGGCACCTCGTTCTCCAGAATCGTATAGTGCTCCTTTAACAACAATGGAAACAAGGCACTATTACGGTACTGAAAAAGTGTTTTTTCTTTTCTTCTCTGGTGCCACCTGAGTCAAATCAATTTTGTAAGAAGCAAACTGTAATTTTGTAGTGTGACTGAGTAAAGATTTTTGGTGAATTTGCTTACAAACAATGAGGCAAAGAAAGCAAACGCAGCTTGAAAGCACATTTCAGTAGACTTTTGATGAAGTCCTTGGATCTAAATCTGAGCATAAATTTGAAGTTTCTAGCGAATAGCAAATAAAACGGCAGGGGTGCCACTGTAAACCTTTAATCTGTCCTTGGTGCACCTTTAATCCATCCGGATGATGTTTATAAACTGTATTATACATCAGTATGATGGATATTGTATGATGAACTCCATTACACAGGAGGAGTCTTTCAGTGAGATTTGTAATCGCACCTTTTCTTCTGTATAATGAGAGGAAAAGTGTGTGACGCATCAAAAATCTCGTTTATACTCAAGCATTTACGAAGGGCTTCCAGATTAGGGCTGTTTGTGGTCAGAATTCTTCTGGGAATATTTGCATTTTTCATTTCATTCTGCAAATTTTATGTGCGATAGGGAGGTGTATGGGTGTATGTGTGTATTTTTCCTGTGCTTGCATGCATATCTGAGCTTCTGTATAGCGTGTGATGTAACGCTGTGTGTTCGCAGTGTTTCTGAGTTGGATGAACATGTTGGAAACTGGAGCTCCTTCTACAGCAGCGCTGGTTAAAGAGGCCGTCAGTTACTGCCAATGAAAACAAGCCTGCAACAGAAAGCTCCTCATACACCGCTGAAACCAGCCAGCCCCACAGCAGCCAGGGACTCAACCCGTACTGCTGATCTCTGACCAGCTTCTCTAAATTCCAGCCTTGACCAATACAGCACAAATCACAAGCTTTGTGATATTAGACCAGGAGCAGACCATAACTTTTCCCAACAGCGGATCTTCAACATTATCAAAATCAGAATAAGAATCACTTAGAATCAGAATCAAACCAGGACCCGAACCAGAATCAGGATCTGAATCATGATCAGAATTAGAACTATACCAAGAATCAAATTTAGATTAATTTTCAGATTAAGATTCAGATTCATATTCAGATTCAGAATCAAAATGTGAATCAGAATCAAGACCAGAATCTTAAACAGAATCAAAGCTGGAATTAGACTGAGAATCAGAATTGGCATTAGAATGGCAATCAGAATGTGAATCACAGTCAGAATCAGAAACAGAAACAAACAAAACATGAAACTGGATTTGGAATTTGAATCTCAAACAGAATCAGAATCCCAATAATTCAATCAGAATGCTAATGATAACCAGAATAAGAATGTGAACCACAATCAGAATTAGAATCAGAATCATAACCAGAATCAAGTTAAGAATCAGAAACAGAATGAAAACCAAAACATGAACCAGAATCAGATTTAGAATGAGAATCAGAACCTGAATTAGAGCTGGAATTAGAATGATAATCAGAATGTGAACCACAGTCAGAATCAGAACCAGAATCAAGACCTGAACGCAAAAAATCAGAACAATAATGACAACTAGTCAGAATGTGAACCACAGTCATAATCAGAACAAGAATTAAGACCAAAAACAGAAACAAAAACAGAACCTTAACCGGATTTGTAATTAGAATCTGAAACTGAATTAGAAACACAATAAAATCAGAACAATAATGATAACCAAAGTCAGAATGTGAATCACAATCAGAATCAGAACCAAAATTAAGATCAAAACTAGAGCATGAACTAGATTTGGAATTAGAATCTAAAACAGAATCAGAACGCTAATCAAAACAGAATGATAGCAATCACCAGAATTAGAAAGCAAACCACAATCAGAATTAGAACCAGAAACAGAAAAAGAATCAGAATCATGTACTCATACAGTATACTTATGTATATTGTACTCATATTCTTTAATCTATTGATTTTATGTTGCTCATTTGCTGTTTTATATCATGTAATACTGTATAAAAGGTGTGATATATAAACATGTTGAGTAAATGACCAATACAGTACAAACAGTAAAGAAACAGATTTGAATCAATACAGTATACAGCCCCAAACATACACATATCCATTATCTAAACTAACTTAAACTAAGCTGGACCCTGTCTGCTCTCATACTGTCCCATTGAGGGAGATGAACTGACCGGAACTCAGACGGGACAGCAGCAGTTGTTAACAACAGTTTAGCACCGTGTTTATGTTCAGTTTGTGACGTTACACACTCATGTGTGATTCTCCATAATTTCAGATGTGCCGTTTTCCAAACGCAGCTATTCTCTGCGTTTGGAGGTTCTGATCTCACTGTTTACCGACTGCAAAACACACAAATCATTTAAAGGTTTTAAATGCA